TTGCAATAAATGTATGTGTGTGTAGATGTATATACACTCACTTAAGATTGAACTTTACTACTCAAATTGACCTCATCCAAAATAATTGGTATATCAAAATATAAGAATGTCTGGGCCTAAGGTAAATTGAAGCATAAAAAAAATATATATGTAGCACAAGTTCTATTAGATTTCAACTTTATTTTTTTCACATCATATCATAAGATACTAATTTTAAAATTTGAAACCAATGTTTGAAGTATTATAGAATTTTCATGGATAACCTTTACAACATCTCATCTTTTTCTTTATCTTTAATGGGTTCGCTTAAAGTTTTATTTCAAATTTATAATCATATTGAAGAATTTTTTTAATGCAAAAAATCAAAGAATATAAACTTAAACATCTTAGTATTACAAAAAAATACATTCATCTTAAATTGAACCCGCCTTATATAAAACAAAGTGAAATTCTAATACTATGGCTACAAATATGTATATATACATATATACATTTACATACATATATACATATACTAGTGGTTAATCCTTTGGCTTTGCCAATGTCAAGTATATTTTTGGCAGCCAATCAAAAAAAAAAAAAAAAAAAAAAAAAAACAACACAGCATTAGCCATGTTAGCCAAGTGGGGGTCATGTTTATTTGAGCCACTGTCGCCGCCAACCTTGCTTGTTCCATTGAGCAATGTTAAATAAATTTACAATGTTTATGAATATTACATGTATTTTAAGTTTATTTTTATCTTTTTAATAGAATCATAATCTTAACTACTCAAGTGTAATTTTGATTTTAATGAGATTATATCTCAACTCTGCACTTGTCTACATTGAAGTAATTAAACTCAAACATTTCTCATTGCAATTTCAATTACCATTTGTATTCTTAAATTCTCTACTGGTTGAATTTTCAAGGAATTATAAAAAATTAGAGAAATTGGAATAATAATTTTTTGTACACATTGTTGCAATAGGAAAATTGTATTCAGTTTTAAAGCAATATCAACACTCTTTTTTTGTGAATAAAAAAGAAAAACTGCTAAGTAGACATTTATCTTTTAATGCATGGATACCCCCTTGTGCCACACACCCCTGCATACACACAGTAAAACTATTTATGCTAAAACAATTTAAGGATAAATTTATAATGAAATATTCTCTAAATAAAATTAATAAGCTTTGTAAAGTGAATTAAAAAACTATTTGAAATGTATTATGGTATTTTTTGATTTTAACCTTTTAAAAATAGAAATAATAATATGATAAGACTTTGCATAGAAATCTTTTACTGTAATTTTACCCTAAAAATCTTTAATATAAATAAGAATTTTTTGGTTTTTATTTTGGGTTGCTTGGCACTCGATGTCCACGTAATAAAAGGGGGTGTCCACCTAAAAAAGAAATTCTCATGTTCTTATTCAGTTATCATTGATTTTTATTTTTTATTTTTTAAAATCACATAATTGTAAGTAAATTAAATTTTATTAAATACCAATTGTTCAGATTTTTGAAAATCCCTTAAACTTTGCCTTTTGGAGAATTCATGACTTTCAGGAAGGAATTTTTAGTTTCAATTTAAAGTAAGAGTTATTAGAAGAAACTGAAACTACGTTTTCAAGAAATTAACTTCATTTTTATCTAATTTTTCTACAAATGATGCAACCAAGTCGTATTATTATGAATTAAAATTAATCATTTATGTCATAGAGCACTTCCTGACTATTTTACATTTGAGTTCAGTCCAATCTAGTTTACAAGTTATGAAAAACAAATCAGAGTGTAATGCCTCAGCAAGTGAGTGAATAATACCGAGAACAATATTTTGTTACTAATTAATTGATATTTTAAAGATTAGTGTATTTCTTTGTTAAACCTAATTTTACTGGAGGATTATAATAAATTCTATAATAAGATTATAGAACTTTTAACTGAAAAATATTATCATATAAGTTACCATGAATTCAATAACTTTTTTTTTATATTTTTATATTTTAGTAGTGATATATAAAAATTTAAGTTTAAGAAAAATAAAACCAGAAAAATTGAAAATTGATTATGGTTTTTAAAAATTAACTCCTTTACTTCGCCTCTGTTTTAGTATATGTTGGTCGTTTCTACTTCGACAAATGACAATTTGAAATATTTCCCTATACTTGTTTCTTAAGTATGAGAAAGATGTTTATGATATTATTAAAATCGTTTTTATATCCTGACTACACTGTGAATAATTTCATAGCAGCAGTATACACATGTTTTTTCAAAAAGAAAAAGAAAAAGAAAAATTTATGTCTAACATATTGAGATGCTTACTTAGATAAGTTATAGTTGTCATTACTTTAAAAAAAAAAAAAAAAATCTAGAATATTTATTATCTTGTTATTGCATTAAATTGCGTCAGTAAACATATATACATATATACAATCATTTTTATCTTATTTTTTCTTTATTAACTAGTAAATTTATAATTGAAATAGATGTTTTTAACCAATTCTTGGGATTTACCAATTAACTAAACTGGTTACGTTGAAAGTTCTTTTTATTTTAAACACTGTTTGCATCAAAATAACAGTAATGAATTTAAGATATACGATAGTTTTTTTTTAGGATTCAATGCATTTAATGAGAAATATATGTTATTTATTTGTTTATTTATTTATTGGTTGGTTGGTTATTTTTTATAATCAAGACATTTGAGTTTATTGGTCATGTTTTTTTTTTTTAGGAATATATTTAGAAAAATTGCAGTGGATTTTTTTTTGAGTAGTGCAAATGACATGAACATAAAGGCAACTTTATCAACTGCAATGATGGCCACAGTTAAGAGAGCATTTAATATATTTTCAATAAACACATGAAAAAATAAAAAAACTTATCACTACAATTCTTTCATAAATTTGTTATTGTCAACTTCTATTATTCTACTTGGTTAATGACCAGCTAAATTGTATTTTTTTTGTGCAGAAGGAACAGGCTAAAAGAAATATTTGTGGGTTCATGGTTTATAATGATGTTTTACAATACCCTTGAAATGTTTTATGACATGTACCTTATCTCCCAAAGATGGTTCAAACTGTGTAAATAATGTAGTAAATGTAGGATGATACAATTGCAGTGCTCAGCCTAATGTAGAATCTACAGTTTTTTTCAAATTCCACATTACAAATAATGAAATTATTGGAGTAAAACAGTTGCTAACATTGTGCTTCAACTGATGAAAGGTGTTAATGACTTGTGATACAGACTAGGCCCCTACCAATGATCATGATAAACAACATGAAGAATAAAGGATTGCATTTGATGTGACCAAACACTTGGTATGAAACTACAACTAATGTGAAATTGCTTGAAACCAAGAAATGGTGACTTTGAAACTTACGTAGTGTGCCACAATGAATAATGACATTGAGGTTGCTGTATTTCTCACATCAACTTACACCTAATGTTTGTATATGTTTTGGGATTTAGCTAGTATTGCCATCTTGTGGGATGACTTCACTTCACTGCAGACAGTAAAGTTCCCTGTCTCCTCGCCAAACAAGTTGCTTCACAATGGCATGACTCCTCATGTTATCTGCAAGTCACACCATACATCTTGTATGGATGGATCACACCTTGAGCCTAGGGCTGGATGCTTCCACAGGATTCCACTAAACAAACACAGATGCACACAATTACAAGTAACCAGGATCCTTCATTCAGTTCTATGGAGAGGTGAGTGGGGATTTGTTGCCAAGATGGATTACCTGCTGAGTAGGTAGCAAAAGCACAGTACACATAGCACAAGAGAATGATCTTCCAGGGCAGAAGAAGGGAAGGATCCTGCACAGGCAAGCATGGTGCAGGGAGGCTCATAATCATTCACTTTGCAAGTTACTCACAAAAATATGGGCATCTCACCATTCTCAACAGCTGAACTTACTGTGGTATCTGAATTTGCTCCAAGCAACAACCACAGTTTAACACACCACATCATACACCCCATGGAAATAATGGAATATTCTAGATTCTACAGCATCCAGCAGATCCTCATTACTGATGGATTCAGACTTCAAATTACTTTTCTCCATCAAAGCATCAGCTTGCATTCACTTGCAACATGAAGTGCCTCTGAAAGTGAATAGTTTGATATGGGTGTGCATGCCTTGTATTCCTAACCATCCATGTCAAATTGGCCTCAACATGAAACCCTCAATCTATTTACCAAATTTGTCAAAGGGAGAGAAAGACACCAACAATCAAGCCCAACAAAAACAAACCATCACTTTCTTGAATCTGTGGCAGGCAAAAGAAGGGTAATATCTTGCAAGGATCCAAAGCAAGGGAAGAGAATTTCCATGGAGGGGAGGGGGGAGATAATTCTGTGGCATGGGAATGAATGGCACCCCAAAGGTAGGCCAGCTACCCGCGAAAATTCCACGCAGGGAAAGGCAAGCAGACAAACGCTGCCAGTTTACAGCAAAAGCCCTCGTTTCTTTTGCTCTTTTTCTTGATATGCTGGAGATCCTGCCCATCCGGACCCCGAAGCACGTCCCGGGAGACCCGCCTTCATCCTCGCCGGACACGTTACAGACATACATACAGGCAAAAGCAGAAGAAGAAATGCCTCGTAGCGCTGCCCGTGAGAGGGTGCACATGCATCGGGACCATTGGACAGGGTGTGGGCGGGCAGGGCTGCGAGATGGAGGGCATGGACACAACGGAGCGAGAGATGTGAAAGATTCTGCGGAAGGAAGGGAAGGGGAGGGAAGTGGTGCGAGGGAGGGAGGGGAGGGAGGGGAGGGAGTGATGAGGCTTGCCTGCCTGCCCTTTTGGCGCCGCCTCCCATCCATCCCCGGCCCGTTCCTCAGCGTGGATTGCCGCGTTCCCTTCCTTTCCCCACTCCCCACCCCTCCCCTCCCCTCTTCTCTTCCCGTTGGCTATTTGCCCTGGCTCCGTGTGGGGCCTACGATCTGAGCATGGTAGGCCACGAGGTATAAGGTGCCGTTCGCCTGCGGCCGGCCCACAACTCCGTCGCCCTACCCAGCGCTGATGACGATGTCGTGAACTACATTGCTCGCGGCTCTCCTCATACCCTCAACATTGTCACACCACCATCGCAATCCCGTCTCCCTCGCTCTGTCATTCCCCCTTCCCCTCCTCTGCTTGCTTTTTTCATCTCCCCTCTTCTTTCCTCTGTATAATTCGTATCCACACATATCGCCGCGAGCCGCAGCTCGAGAGAGCTAGAGAGCCTCACCCTGTCGTAGTGCGCGATACCAGTTCTCCGCTTTGTTTCCCAACGAGATATCTTGGTATTTCAACTGTTGCATTTGCAGCTTTCGAGCTTAATGCAGAATACTCAGAAGGGTAATTGAGAATTCCATATTTTGGGGGATTTAGAACGGTTATCGTGGAATTCTTGCTCTATTCTTGGAGTAGTGCTACCGTGAGCCTTGTCGAATATTTAGCAGAAGAGCAGCTGGTGGGATTGCAGCTTGGAAAGGTTCTCATTTTCCTTGATCACAGTCACAAATTGCGTACTTACCGCTTTACGAACCATCTTTCACGGTTGAATGCCGTTTCTCCATCGGTTCTCCGTGGGTCTCACTGCGTGACGAACTTCCGAGATATCTAGCCCTGCTTAAATTTGAGATCCATTGCGGTTTTGAGCGTCATGATTTAGCAAGTGTTTTAAAAATTCCAGGGTCCTAGGGCAATTGTCTCACGTAGTGCACTGAACTCTGTCTGAATTTTAGGGGATGAGAGGTAGATTTGAAGAATACTGGTGTCTAATTTTCTGTTAATTTTTCACCCTTGAGGTAGCTCATGGATTTGGGAGGTGATCGCATGAGAGCTCCTCAGAGGCAGTCTCGAGAATATCAATATAGATCATTGGACGTCTTCACAGAGCAACACGAGCAGTTGCAAAAGCAGCAGCAGCAAGATGAGTATCAGAGAACAGAATTGAAGCTCGAGACACTGCCAAAAATGTTAAGCAATGCGACCGTGTCATCTTCCCCTCGAAGCAGTCCGGATGGACGTAGACTACGTACAGTCGCGAATAAGTATGCTGTGGAAGGTATGGTTGGGAGTGGCGCATTCTGCAAGGTGTATCAGGGCTCCGATTTGACGAACCACGAGGTTGTGGGCATCAAGCTGGAGGATACGAGAACTGAGCACGCTCAGTTAATGCACGAGTCGCGCTTGTACAACATATTGCGGGGTGGGAAGGGAGTGCCCAACATGAGATGGTTCGGAAAAGAGCAAGACTACAATGTGATGGTGCTAGACCTATTGGGGCCGAACCTGTTGCACCTCTTTAAGGTGTGTGGGCTAAGGTTTTCGTTGAAGACCGTGATTATGCTCGGTTACCAAATGATTGACCGGGTGGAATACGTGCATTCTCGAGGGCTCGTTCACCGTGACCTGAAGCCGGATAACTTCCTCATGGGCTGCGGTCGGCAAGGAAACCAAGTGTTCATTATAGATTTTGGCTTGGCAAAGGAGTACATGGACCCGGCAACACGAAGGCATATCCCTTACCGAGATAGGAAGAGCTTCACAGGGACGGCACGGTACGCTAGTAGGAATCAGCACAGAGGAATCGAGCACAGTAGAAGAGATGACATAGAATCACTTGGTTACATTCTTATGTACTTTCTAAGAGGCAATTTGCCATGGCAAGGGAAGGGCGGGCAACGCCTCACTGACCAGAAGCAACACGAGTACATGCACAACAAAATCAAGATGAACACCACTGTGGAGGAGCTTTGTGATGGGTATCCCAGTCAATTTGCCGACTTTTTGCACCACGCGCGAAGTCTAGGTTTCTACGAGCAGCCTGACTACTGTTACCTCCGAAGCTTGTTCCGTGATCTTTTCATTCAGAAAAAATTCCAGCTCGACCATGTGTACGACTGGACTGTGTATACTCAACTCCCCCAGAATGGCTCTCTGCAATCAGTGCGCAGCCAGAATTCCGCTGCTTCGTCCCATTTGCAAAATCGACCTTCGAATGTATCATATTGTCCACCCTTGACCAAGTCGGAGTTCCGTCGTGAGGTTGTTGCGGCGAATTAGGGCTTACGTTGGGAGGACTAGTGGTTCATCCTCTGCTCTGGTACTAAAATAGCACAAGGTTGCTTACTGTTTCCCTCTCTCAAGTCTTACATGATTGTGAATGGGGGTTTATGGAGTTGAGGATGAGGCAACTAAGCAGAGTGTAGGAAAAGAGTTGTAGACTCTCTAGTGTGTAGTGTGTAAATCAAGGCTTCTAGCATTGTGTCGGTAGCTTGTATGGATCAGACTAGAAATGACTTTATCCATTACAAGAATTTTTACTCGGAAAGCCCATGACGGTGATGATTTCAATACGTTGCACAAGCAACTTTCTTCTGTAATTGAAATAGAGGATCTGGTCTGAGTATGAGAAGATGGGCATACATTATTGGAGTATATGTCTCGCCTCAAGCCTGGATTGTTGTTTTTCGTTTGTTCATGTTTTAGCTTTGGATTGTTTGAATGAAATTTCTGTATTCTGGATAGCTACGTGGGATCCCTCCTGTGTGAGTGACGGCAATTATAGTGTGCCCAAGGCTGTCTGAAGGTTCACGGCATTTAGTGAAGATGTACTTGTCGACCGCATTTGCGAGGTCGTCAACTGGGAGAACTTTAAATGTCACGGATCCTGCTCTGATCTCATGCAGTAGCACGTTATCTGAAAACTTCGGTGAGGCGGACTCTACTTTTTCACGTGAGGAATCAACTTGCACACTGAAGATTTGTCTTTACCTCTTGCGCCTGCGCACTTGAGATCCAAGCAAACCCGAAAGTAGACATGTGTGTAGAAAAGCTCCGAGATATCTATCACCCACTGGACGATCAAGATATTTTGGCAGATGAAGCGAGTTCTCCCGAGTAATCCTCCTCTTTTGCTTCCCATGCCATAACCAGCTGCTCTCTACACCAACGTCAACCTCGTTTCTCAGTTCATCTGATTTTAGAAGCACACACAAACTTTAAATGTACACTTGCCATTTTCATTTCTTTGGATTATCCTCTCGCTTACTTTAACTATATAGCACAAATCCCATAGACCAGCTTTTAGGATTATTTTTTTCTAGTGTATTTCAAGACTTGTCATTTTTTTTTCCCCTCCATCACATCATTCAAAAAAGAAAGAAGTCGAATAATCTGATCGAAATTCCAGTGTATAATTGTGCTTGGTTAAACATCCTGTTTACTTATTCATAAACTATCCTTGTTAATACGTGGAATTAAAAACTTGTTGAGTTGGTTGTGCAAATTGAACACAGATTTCTAGTATTTAAAAAAAAAAAAAATTATGATAATGACCGCTAACTTATTCTGATGAGACTTTCATTTTTAGATTATTTTCCCTTAAAAATAAACAGTACAATCTTTATTAATATGACATGGAACTTCTTTGAAGATAATGTATATGTATGCCTTTTAAGAAAATTCATAGTATTTTTTGAACCTGTGATTATAGTTGGTTATTGGGCAATTGGAATTAGGGTCTCTGGCTTGTGCTGTATATTTATTTAAAAAATATTGCTTACAAAAACATCCATGGATGCAAAAGTTGTTGGTTTGGACATACCCTCAAATACTACTAGTGGATGATTTTATACAAAATTTAAAAGCCAAATAGGGAGATGAGAGCATCTCATGTATAAAGTGGCATGGACATGCATGAAATGAAGAAAGTGGGAATGAAGGAAAAGGATGTGGAATGAGTGATGTTCTCTTTCTCTTTCCCTTCTTCCTCCATCTCTGCATGGGGGCTGCTGCTTTGAATTGTTCCTTCCATGTGAGCAAGTGGGGCAGTGGCAATTTCCATGTGAGCTTGCATGCATCCAGCAGATGGCTCCATAACTAAATAGCTAGTTAGCTATAGCCACGTTGCCCATGTGCCAGCAACTGCTTATCCTCTATAGATGGCATAATAGAAAAACCCTAGATTCTGCTAGTCCAGATTCATGTGTTCATTCACTCTCCCTCTCTACCTCCCTCTTCCTCCTCCTTCCCTTCTGCTTATGTCCATCTCTCTCAACTCTGGTCTCTGAGGGTGCTCTCCTCTGAATTTCATACTAATATGGTATCATGCTGGTGTCAAATAAGCTATCACAAAAGGCCTTTCAAAGCCAATCTATCATAGCCCTTGGACAGACATACAAGCATAGTGAAGAGAACTTTACCAAACATGTCACTTTCATGATGAAGGCAGCCTGATGGTCACTTCCTCACTAACAAATAAAAAAGGGGAAAAAAACATTTCCTTCCTTCTTTGGCACTTCTATCTACACAGTCAAGTATACACAATATATATAAATATAAATATAGTCTTGGATCCTCAATGGCTAACATCAATCAAACTATTTCCATTTCCAATTTCATAAATATTTGTTCATTCATAATGGGTGTGCAGTGCAAACTTTTTGTAATCCTTACTTGAGTGACTCTATGATTCATGGATATATGTTTGTTTAATTTCATCTTTTGACTTATTGTGTATGTACATGTGGCTATGTCATAAAACTTTTGCCAATTTCTACTTGAATTGTGCCTCTCAGCACCAACTAACTTAAAACCCACAAAACCTACAAATTTATTTATGTCTTTTTCTAATTTATGTCTCTTACTATGTCATGTAAATGACACTTTTACAAAAATATTGCATTTACATCAACCAATTGTAATATTTTGTTTTATGTTTTTACAAGTTTTTAAACATTGGTGAAATACAAATTATGTGTGTGTGTGTATATATATATATAGAGAGAGAGAGAGAGAGAGAGAGTGAAAGAGAGAGAGAGAGAGTGAGAGAGAGAGATATGAATTCCAACCTATAACATTTTTTACAAAATGTATGAGAAATCCAGTTTTTGAGTAGAATATGCAAAAGTAGGTTTAGTTTTTTTTTAGTTTTTTTTTTTTTTTTTTTTTTTTTCCCGAATTTTTAAAATAATTCAAATAGTTTCATATTACGTGTTTAAACTATTTTTTATACCAAACAAACCTTATAATTTAGATTTTTTTTCTAAAAAATAAAAATTAAATTTTAAATTTGACAATATCTTATATATATACTAGTGGAAATCCATATAGTTGGTCATGAAAAAGTTATAAAATCTTAATATGTGGTTGCTAAGTGAAAAATTGACCACTCTTAAAAAATAATTATAAATAAATAAATAAATAAATAAATAAATATATATATATATATACATAAAAATAAAGAAATTAATATTTTTATATTTTAATTTATAAATATAATTGTTATATATTTTACATAAAAAATAATTAAAATAACTAAGTTAAAAGAACTTCCAAATAAATTATATTTATGGTGGTATTTTTATATTAATTATTTTTTAGATATAGGATGTTGATTGTATTTAGAGAAGTGCATTGTGATATGGCAATATATAATTGTCCATGTGTAAATACCGAGATTCTAAGTTCTATTCCTACATTCTTTAATGATTGTTGTTGAGATTTATTAATTATTATTATAAATCTCACCTTTATTGAAAATTGCCTTTGCTACCACTTAAACAAAATCTTTTCAGATGATGGATATAACATGATCCTTGGAAGAAAAGCCAATTGTCTATTATAGTTTCTACAAAATAGTCTTGGTTCTATAACTTGATTAGTCAACTACGTAATGACTAACCATGATCCATTGCAAAGACTTTGATGAGAAGCAATATTTTGCAACAACATAATAAGACATCCAATCTAGAATTCTAAACTAAATGGTTGCAATCCAAATAGATTTAAAGTATTCAAATATTCAATTATATAATAATTACTATTATTAACATCATCTTCTATAATTGCTATATTTGTGATAAAATAAATATATAAAATTTTATAAAGTTTTTGTATAGTATGCTTCTTTAAATCATCAGCATCATAGTTTTGAGCAAATAAAATAGACTTATTAGAGATATAATTATCTCCAAGTATCCTATCATCATCTATATCCAAATAAAAAGCTTGAATCAAATCATTTGATGTTAGACCTACTTTCATATATTCTATTAGAATCATAATATTTTCAATGGATCTACAATTGTTGAACTATTTTCAATGTGAAAATAAAAAATAATATAAGATATATTAAAAATAAATATTATATTATTAAAAAAATCTTTCAAAAATAACAATCTTATATAATACATATTTTTTGATATAGATATACTATATAAAAGACCAAACAAGAAGTTGAATGGAAGAATTTCAATAAGAAAGCTAACAAAAATTTGATTAAATCATATGAGTACAAGTTCAATATCAAGAGAGATGAACTAGAGCTCCAAGAGATATGTTGTGGAGATTGATAATTTCCTTTGCTTTGGCTCCAATATATATTAAGTATTAGAAAGCTTCTTAAGAAGTTTTCATGTTGCTTCAAGATGAAGTAATCTTAGGAAGCTCTTTGAGAAGTTTTTATATTGCTTAAAGTTAATAAAACCTTCTAAAGCTTCTTAAGAAGTTCTCATATTGCTTGAAGATGAAACAATCTTAAGAAGCTTTTTAGACAACTTTTTTAATCATCATAGAATTTTTTAGAAGCTTTTAGAAATTCTAAGATTCTTTTAAATCTTCTAAAATCTAATAAAATACTATAAAAATATTTCTAAAATCTTCTTATTAGATGTTCGTGATACCTTTAAAAGTTCTTCAATAAATAATCAATTTTTGTCAAAAATACCTTTTATATGCATATTTTTGATTAATTATCATAGACATATATATTAACCTATATACTTATCTAGATAATAAAAATAAGTAGAAGTAAGTCAAAGTAGATAAATATGATAATATCTTTTGGAAAGCTTCTTAGAAGCTTTATAGATGCTGCTTTACCTTTATACATGTCTATAGGTAATTGATAGGTTGAAAACTTGGCCAACAAGAAGCCACTTGTCCACATGTTGATCACTTGAAGTACAAGTTGGACATATGGCACACACTTAAGAAACTTGTATTACAAATTAGACATGTGTTCTATAAGTTGGACGTGTATTAGAGGTCCTATAGCATGTCGCCACATAGTTCTTAGTTAAGTAGTATATATAGAGATAAGAGTGAGGCCTTCTTCACTCTTGTCAACTCCTTTCTTGATTTTAATCTAGTTTTAAGAGTCTTATGTTTTCTAGTCTTTGGCAATAGTCATTACAGTTCTTTCTTAAATATACATACTTTCTTTTATTTGTCACTTTTTTTTTGATACAGATTCCATGACTTAATGCATCTTCTTCCAGTTTGTGTCTTTGATAGATTGACAAGAATGCATATATAATATTAGAGCTTTGTCATTTCTTAATTAAAAGTAGCTTACTCCTTTCTCTTGACAAGACATAAGTATGTAAGAAGTTATAGATTATCTTCTTTTAAATTGATATATATATATATATATA